CACACAAAATACCTAAGCACCAGAATTCATTTTGTCACTTACGTTGTAACCCTTCTGTATCGGCTGGTGCAGAATGATTTCAATACCAGTCACAGTAAAACTCAAGTCTCATTAATAGCCAAAATTTGAATCTCACAACTTTTATCTTTTCTAAGTTTCATAACATGAACCAGAGTATTGAAATAAAGAAAGAGAATGGAAAGAAAATGATTGAGAATTATCATGCACAGGAGAAGAAAAGAACTATTAAAATTAAAACTGTGTCAAAGCCAAAGTGTCAGTATAAATACATAGTAAAAGAGAGATATTTCGGCATTCACTGTCCAATATCTGTGATGGGTGAGCCTCACCTTTCATAGCACTTAGTTAAAAATATTTACCACGGCTACACTACCCCTCTTCAGACACCTCTTAACACATATATCTCAGCTTTCTATTGTCACAGGTGCTTTGCTCACAGATGATTTGAATGTGGTAATGGAGAGAAAGTTACCTAAACTTCATTTCCACTGTGAGAAAAAAAAAATGTGGGTTTTCTTTAATATGAAATGATGTTCTCCATTTATTTATTAACTTATTTATTCATTTTTAGATAGAGAGTGTCACACTGCCTTCCCAGGCTGGAGCACAGTGGTGGCATCAGAGCTCCCTGCAGTCTCAATCTCCTGGGCTCAAGCGATCCTCCCACCTCAGCTTCCCACGTCGCTGAGACTAGAGGCACAAGCCACCTTTCCTGGCTAAAATTTTTAAAAAGTCTTTGTAAAGACAGGGTCTCACTATGTTGCCCCGATTGATCTGGAACTCCTGGCCTCAAGCAATCCTCCCACCTTGGCCTCCCAAAGTGCTAGAATTATAGGCACAAGCCACTACAGCCAATTAGATGTTCTCTACAATACAAATTACACATCTATGAGTTAAAAACTGCTTTATTTTCTCTAAATCTTGTAGAGTTTCTAGTACCATAGATATGTCCAGAGTTTTGAGGTTTATTTCCCTAATTCCTAGGTCTAATGGTAATCAGACCTTCACTCTGAAGTGATGCAAGATGCAATGAATGTCCATGGGTAATAATGACATCCAGAGACAAAGTTGCGTTGAACATGCCTTGGAGATTGACCTTGACCTCTGTGAGGTTGGACAGATGTCTAAAGCTCCGTGGGAACAATGCCTGCCAAAATTAGTTCAGTGCTTCACTGAGGCTCATCTCAGAAAATGGCTCTGAAATAGATGTGGTGTGTCAGACTTTGAAACCATGCAATTAAGGTTTAACTGTGGTACCTGAAAATAATGTGCCAAAAGCATATGATCAAGTGTTTTTTTTTATGTATAGATTACACATATCTAATGATAATTATATACAGTATTATAAAGCAAGCAAAACTGAAAGCATCTGTTCAAAAAAGTATGCTTAAAGGCTCTCGGATGACTTCATGAATCAGTGACACATTAACAAATCTCTTCTTTTCAAAAAAAGATTTATTTTACATAGTTTGGACCTGTATTCATGCTTTGTACTTTCTCTTTGATTTCATCTAGCAAAATCAGGAGGAGCACAACCAAAACCCATGAGACAAACATCTTTGGAGTGGAAGACTGGAGAAAAAGTAATGATGAAAGTCAGCCAGATAAGTGGAGTAAAAAAAGTAGAAAATGACTGAGATTTTGCAAACCAAAGCTCATCCACAGCTACAAGCTTGAGAAGGATATATTTTCTCCAAATAGATTTTCCCATTTGAGTTTTTATTTGCCCACTCCAGACAGTAGTTCAGATAAAATGGGAATAAAATAATAAAAAGCTTTTGTTTCTTTAACTTTCAGGAGGAGCTAATGTGCTATCTATTGAATGACCTCTCCAGTCAAGCCTTCAGTCATAAGCATGTAGATTATCTTCAGCACATGTGTTCTCCCAATGCCATCCCCTTTCAACACCCACACTAAGTTTACTGCCTCATAACCACCATTGTCTGAAAGTTGATGGAAGCAGAAAAAAACATAAAAGGGCAAAAAAGACAGTTGCTTTCAGTGGCAAGTGTACCAGATCTGGGAAACAGGGGTCCCTACCCTAATATACGCTGAAGCAGGCATATATGGGCTTAGAGTTAGAACTGCTTTTGTTAGATTTTTAGGAATTTTGTGAGCCAGTTGTTAAGTCATTATTAAAGATTGAATTATGCAAACTTAAAGAAATCCTACTAAAAAAGGTACTGAATAGTTAACACTTACTCTTTCCTAATTATTTGCTGTATTTTACTTTATCAATGCTTTTGAGGTTATGCCTATTTTATGTGTATGATGGAAATGCTATATAAAGATACATTTGAAATTGACCAAAGTGGGAGTAGTTGCACCGAATAATTTGGCAAACTCTGCAAATCAGTGGTTGCTTACTGTTTTGTTGATTGCCCAGACTTTTTAAATAAAGGAGAAATATTTTAAATAGTGCATATTAAACCTAAAAATGTGTCATGTCTATAGACATTGTCAATAGCATGAAAGAAACGGAGGAAATAATTTTTAAGTATTTGAAAACTGGTATCCAATTCAGCCAAGAATCTGTTCATGTAATTGATGGAGATAAGTTTCAATGTTTTCTTCCATGCTTCACTTTCCTCTTTCTTTTTAAAGTAAAAAAAATATTAACCAGCATTCATGTCAGAACTACAAAACTAAGAGTTTGTCAAACTCAGCAAACAGATTCTGCCAGAATTAAATGGCTATATGGAATACACATTAAAGACTATTACATATTGTACTATTGCTATCGTTTGTCAATTGAGAGCTACACATCTTTCACATAAAGAAGATTATCTTGTATGATATTATAATGTAATATATACATTTGTTTTGTTTACAATCCTGTTGTTAAATGTTTACCATCACCCCAATATCTCTACCATCCAAAAACTATTGATTGAAAACCTGTTTACCTCTATGAATACCAACTTCCATATGTACAAACAAATGAAATGAGTATCTACATCAGAGGATAGTTTTAAAAGTCAAAAGAAATGTTTATGTCAAAACCCTGTATGGATTGCAAATATTAGGTATTTTCAGAAATTCAGCAAATATGTTTCCGTTTCCAATATGAGCTCTAAGTGTGCAAATATCACTAGTGCTATGGTCTCTGCCCTCAAGCTGCTTACAATCTAATGCTAAGAAATATGTGTAAATGAGTTAAAATTACTTAAGAGAGTACCAAATGTTCTATACCAGAGGAAAAAGTGAAGTCCTATGAAATTATAGGAATATAAGGGATTTTACCTGGAGCACCAAGGAAGACTTCATTTAAAAAAAAAAAAAATGGAATTTTGAGGTAAGCTTTGACATACAAGTTGCATCTGTATCAACTGAGAATGTGCACTTGGAAAGGGGGCATACTTGGCTGGTGGGTGAAAATTCAAAAACATTATCATCACAAATATTTCAATGCCTGTTAAGAAAATCGTAATTGCATTGATAAATCTGCTACGTAAAAACCTTACTTATTATTTCCATGCAAAATAGAAATTATGCATTCTAGATTATGCAATACAGCAGGCCTATCCATACTCTTAATCAAGGGTTGACTACATGTTTAGTCAGCTTTGCCAACTTACAAGCCGTGTCCATTTCCACAAACCAAAGTACAACTCAAGCTCCTGACTTCTTAGTGAAAGCAAGCATGTTGTAAATTTTTAAAATTATTTTCCAAGAAAACTATTAAGTATGTTTGATTCAAGTATTTCACATGACAGAAGGCGCTATCCAATAGAATTTAAAAGTGGCCTTGGTTTCAAACCTAGGAATACGTAAATTATGCATGCATTACGTGAACAATGAAGGGCATACCCAAAGTGAGGTTTTCATGAAAGACTGGCACACTGAGGCAACAGAAAAGTGAAAACATTCTAAAACCTTCATGTGAACAAAGACCGACTACTAAAAAGCACGATTTTATCCCTCAGTTAATAAGTCTTGCAAGAACATTACTAAGTAAAGTTCATTGCGAGCATTTTCCTCTCGCTTGTCAAAATATGCTAGTTATATATTTGTGACTTGAAAAAAATACAATGCTTCGAAGAAAGCTTGGCAGAGTACTCAGAATCTGTCTTAAGTATAACGCAAGGGAGATGTCTATTAATCTTTCACACACAAAGTCTGATTCAAAAGTTCTGTGGCCTTGACCTCAAGTGACCATGGAATAGATAACAGAGCCAGTCCAGGATCCAAAGGGATTAAGAGGAGCATTTGCTCTGCTCTGAAAGGCCCTTTTTTTCTCCACTCTGGTTTCTAACTTCCCATTACACAACTCCCTCTGCAAGGCACCGCGCCAGTGGAGCCCGTTCACTCTGTTCTCTCCTTAATGACAGCTGTCAGTCTGTCACCGCCTGAACATGCAACATTTCAACAAAATCCAAAGCCGAATTCAAAGGGCAGGGGCTGAAGCACACAGCCTGACCTCCTTCCTGGAGGTCCCAGACTCCTTTACCATCACCTTTCAACCTGCAGAAGGTAAGAACCACCTCACTCTTCACTAAAGCATTGAGGCCGTTTCTGTCGCCTCAGAACCTGAGCATTCCCACGCATTGCGTAATTAAGCAACATTCCTGGAAATCATCCCAAGAAGAAGGAGCCCGCAAGTCCCCTTATAACTTCAGCACGAACGCGAAGGGTGCTAAAGCCAGGTGTCAGATCAAGGTGGGGGGAATCGCTCACTCCCCCTGCTCCTGGACTGCAACCCCTGGACCGCGTGGCGACGCCCGGCGGGAGCGCGGCGAACCCCAGCGCGCGGGACCAGGAGTGAGACCGCGCCCTCCCGCAGGGCAGGGGCTACCCGGCGAGTGGAGGGCAGTGCGAGCTCAGCCGCGCGGAGGGTAGGGCAGTGCGAGCCCAGCCGGGCGGGGAGCCCTGCTCACTCATTAGCCCCCGGCCGGGAGCTGCGGAACCGCAGAGGAAGCCGGAGAGGCCGGTCCTGAAGCAGGGACCTGTCCTGGGGCAGGGGCGCGCGGGGCACTCACCAACTGCAGCGCGCAGAGGCAGATGAGCGAGCAGCGCCCGGTGCAGCAGCCCATGGTGCCGGCGGCGTCCGAGCGGCTCTGAGGGCCGGGGATCCGCGTCCTCCGCCGCTGCTGCCTCCTGACTCCGGAGTAGTCCTTGCCTGGCCCGGCCCAGGCTCCCCGGCCCCGCGGCCGCCGCTCGCGGCTCCTGGGCTCGGGGCTAGAGCCCGCCTTTGTTAGTTTCCCGGCGGGGCTGGCTGAGGTCGGTGCGGCGCGCACTGCCCGAGCGTCTGGCGGGGGTCCCTGCGTCCCACTGTGCAGGTCTGCTTCTTGGGGAGGGGGAGCCGGGCAGGCGGGCGGGGCGGGGGGCGGAAGGAGGCTACAGATGGTGAGTGGGTGAATGTCTGTTTAGGGGAGGGGAGTATGTAGGAGGTGGGCGTCTGGAAAGTGGAGTGGGCTGTCTGGGTCCGGGTGTGTGTGTGTGTGTGTGGTGGGAGGGGAAGAATGAAAGGGAGTGCCGCTGGGGAGGATCTGCCTGTCTAGTTAGGAGTCTTTGGGGAGACAGGAAGAGGGACGGAGAGAAAAGAGAATGAATATGAATGAGCGTGAATTAGGGCGGCCGGCTGCGTTGGAGACCCTCGTTGACCGGTGTAACTGGCTAGACCCAGCTGGGCTTTCTCGCTGAGGGTTGTGCTGGGGGTTGGGAGGGTGGTCGTTGCATTTGCAGGGGAGGGGACACGGCTTAGCTGAGCTGTCCCGGAGGTGGCGAGGATGGGAGGTGGGACGGCGTGGGGTCGGGGGAGGAAGGGCCGGACGCTAGACGCCGGGTGTGGGCTGGCGCGGCGGAGCGCGAGACCGAGCTCCGGAACCTGCCCGGCTGCGAGGGGGCCTGCGGGCGCTGCGCGGGCGAGTGTGATCAGCTGGCGCTGGGCAAGCAGCTCGGGGGTCTCCGAGCCGAGGTCGCTTCTGGCCGCCGCAGCCGGTTGCCTGGAGGGCGCCCCTGCTGGAGTCTGAAAGGGGAAGTTGGACAGAGTTGGTTGGCAAAGGGCGCTGCGGCGGAGAGATGCACCGGCCCAGGGCGCGGGGACTAGCCAGGACGCCGCGGGGAGACCTGGCTCGGGGTTCTCAACTCACAGACCATTTGACATCCTCACCAGAAGGGAGAAAAGAGAAGGCAAGGAAGAAGATGAGTAGCTTTTTCTAGAAACGGAGAAGGTTTCCGGAATAGATATAAATTTATCTTCACAGAAATGAATTAATTGTTTGAGAAGGATTTGGAAATCAGATCTCGGATAGTTAAGATACGGACAAACTGTGAATCCTGTGGAAACTCTCTCACTCTCTCCCACTTAATAGAACAGGGCGGAGGTGTTCTGCAGAGGATTCAATTTCATCAGGGCTCAAAGTGAGATTTCATGGGCGCATTTGTTGTACCAGGTGGAACTGCGCAAGGCGCTCAAAAGCACACCAGCGCAGGGAACAAGCCCGCAGGCCAATTATCTCGGAAAAGGCTGTCTTCAGAATTTGGCACAGAAACCCTATTTCTAGCCCACTGCTGCCCTCCTGGGTTCTTAGCGGTAGGTTGGTAAGAAAAGGCAAGACAGCTTTGCGTGTTTAATACTTTCACTCCAGACATGGAAACTGCTCAAACCATTATTAGTTCAGGCATTAAAAGCTGTTCTGTTTTTATTTTTAATCCTCTTTCTGAAACGTTTCTTCAGTATCTGTGTTTATAATTTAAGATATAATTCTCTTTGAAATTCTAGTAGGGACACATGAATAATAACCTCAGGATTTGGGTTAATAAAAGGGTCAAGAACATTCATTGTTTACATTTCACCTCTATTGTCAAGGAGAAGGGAGAAATCAAGTCAGAACTCCCCCTCCTTTTTTAAACATCAGTGATCAAGAATCATGTGAGCATGCTGCCTCTGTGTACAATCCACATACTGGTCATCATTCTTGATGGATAAAAACAATAGAAAAAAAAATGAGCACTGACATATAAGTAGTTTAGCATATACAAAAGGACACTGCAGAACATCTCCGGCCACTGGCCCCTCTAAAAGCTGTAGGAAGCAGCTGAAAAGTGAGAGGACATGAACAACTCCTCTGTCTCTAACTCCAGAAATTGTTGTAACCTCTTCATCTCCAGAGACTGTGATGAATGATGGTAATAAAAATATTGACACTTCCTTCTCTCCAAATTACCCCAGTATAATTTGTCATGCTTTTATTTATTTAGGAAGTACCAGATTAGCAGCTAACCTGCACTGGGCCCTTGTCAGGTGCCATACATCCATCTAAACCCTTTATGTGTGTTCATTTAATCATCACTGCAACCTCATGGGGTGGGTGCTGTGAACATCACCATGGAAAAAATACTGAAACAGGAGTAGGGGCTCCCCTGGCTGTTAAACACAGGAATAGGAATACAAAGCCAGGGAATCTAACTCTAGAGCTCCTGTATTTGCACATTCCCTATGCTGCCTCTGAAACTTGGGACACAAATAGCACTCATTCACAGGGAAGCCAGCTGTTCCTTCAGAAGTAGGTGTAATAATGTACACTGACCTAACATTCAGAGTTAGTACCACCATGTTCGATTTTAGGAGACCAGGAGGGTCTCTTGCACCTCTCCTTTTCCCATCGCCTCCTTTAACGATAGACTTAAATTAGAGTTTCTTCCTTGTGTGATTTAAGACAGTCAGACATGCATTTGTACTAAACACATTTAAACAAGAAGCAAAGATAACACAATGCTAATAAGAAGTCTAGAAATTGTGTGAAGCTGCCTTTATTTCTCTCTGCAATCTCTTATTCTCATTTTCTAAATTGTATTACACCCTAAACTAAAAATGTTTCTCCCTTTTTTTCTTTCTTCCTCCATCCTTCCCTCAAATAGTTTTTACAAGTTTATTTCTTAATTGTTTCTATGCGAAGGGATGTGCTAGTTGCCTGGTCTGCAAAGGTAAAGGATAATACTCCCTCTTCCCCTCAAGGGCTTACAGGTGGGAAGGGAGCGCAGATGCAGGAATAAAGTAGCACTCCCTGTGATAGAGGTTGGTGCCAACTGCTGTCATTAAGTTTTCTTCCTGCGAGAGTTAGAGAAGATTTAAAAGAGGAATTACCAGTCTCTTGGGGAGAGGAAATGAGACTAGAAGATGACAGAGCAATGGAAAGGATGGGGCCTGGACAGAAGCTTGGTAAAACCAATTGGAGAGGAAATAATCTAAGTAGAACAGCCCATCAGATATATGGCTGTAAATGCTGCTGCGTGGCCACAGAATATCAGGGAGGTCATTTTGCTCCACTGTGAGCCCCATTTTCCCCATACATAAAGCTGTGATAAAATGACTTGCCCCAGAGGGCTAAGCCTTTGCATTTGACCCTTGTCCTGTCTCTGTGGAGCCTACAGCCTCGGCTCATGCAGGTCTCAGCCTGATGTCACATCCCATGGAGGCTTTTACTGAACAGGCCTTCTAAAATAATACTCCAGTTACTCTATTTTTCTTCAAACTGATTGTTTGTTTACTGTATTGTTTCCTGTTTCCCCGACTCAAATACAAAGCTGTTTCCCCAGTGCTTATAACAGTAGTTAAATTCAGTATCTGTTGCATGAAAAACAATAATGTGTATAGATTTTTAGCATAATAATTCACACATCATGTTGAACATATCTGTATATGTGCACATATATAGTATATAGTGAGTATTAAACATATGTACACACACACACACCCCCTTAATACCATTTGAGTCTGTGTGTTTCTTATGTTTTGTTTTTGTCTTATGTCTTCTCTTCTATGTGTTTATTTCTTGGTGAAATTCCTTTTGAGAAACTTCAGTCCTGTCTTCCTTGAGGGAGGAGTGAGTTGTCCAAACTAAAAGATAACCGGGGTGAGACAGCACCTCTAGAGGCCAGATCTAGAAATGCATGTTACCAGATTCCCAACTTTTTGGGGTTCACTTTCAAATACTGGCTATGAGACACCAGCTTTAATTTCTCCTTAAATTAAGATTATTTTGAATTAAAGTTATCCTCAATTATTGCACTGTTTTTTGTTTAATGTTTTTGTAAGCCTCTCAATTCTGCATTTTTATTGAGTTGAATAGATTATAGCATGATTAAACATTCTTCCTCCATTGTGAAAAGTTCTTCAATGTATTAGTAAATATATGTATTTCCTCTGACGTCTGCTTAATGGTGAGCACCTCCTTGGGGCCTTCATGGAGCAAGTAAATTCCCTATACCTTCTCCTACAACTGGCTTCACTTCATGATTATCTGACTGGCATTGCAAAGCAGTAAGCCAGCTCAGATGGAGCAAAGAAAAGTTTTACACTGGAGCAAAATGTGGACACACATGTATGAAGAGTTTGAAGCATGGCTGCAAAGGGCTGCAGAACATTAGTGTGCTGTTGCATGGCTGTTGAGACCATTCTTCTAGTTAGAATTGGTTCACTTATTATGCATAGCGAAGGAAGTATGAATGTTGGGGGCATAAAATGGGAAAATGCTAACAGTTATATTTTTTATATTTTCTTACTCCCTATAAAGATAGGTTTTTCTTGATATTTTAAGCACTTTACATCTGAACATTTAAAAACGCCCCCCAGATGGCTGTTTTATTGGGAGATAAGAAAGAAATCAGAGGTGGACATATGGTGTGGGGGTGTTTCTAAGGTCACTGGAAAGCCTGTAGAGTGGGAGAAACCAAAGGAGAAAGGATAAGAAAAGTTCTTTGGTATATTTTGATTGAATAAATGTTACTTACAATTAGTTCTGCAATTGGAAAGATAGCCAAGCACCATTTTTTTCTGGTTCTGTTTTGGTTAACAATAAGCATCAATTAATATTAACTCCATCAATGGCCTAACAACTCTGATCTGGTTTTTCTTTTTTCTTTTCTTTTCTTTTTTCTTTTTTTTTTTTTTTTTTTTTGAGATTGAGTTTCATTCTTGCTGCCTAGGCTGGAGTGCAGCAGCGCGATCTCAGCTCAGTGCAAGCTCTGCCTACTGGGTCAAGCGATTCTCCTGCCTTAGGCTCCCGAGTAGCTGGGATTACAGGCACCCACCATCATTCCCAGCTAATTTTTGTGGTTTTAGTAGAGGCGATGTTTCACCTTGTTGGCTAGGCTGGTCTTGAACTCCTGACCTAAGGTGATCCGCCTGCCTTGGCCTCTCAAAGTGCTGGGATTACAGGCGTAAGCCACTGCACCTGGCCCATTTAGCACTTTTCTAATGTCATGCACTGAACAGCCCCAACCGACACTGGCAAGTTCAAGAA